TTTATATCAGTTCTATTTTATCCCCCTGCCTAGATATATAGAAGAGATCCACAAGTATTAGAGGGTCACACCATTTTTAAAAAGCAAAGCCAGGAAGCTTGACACAGAGAATCATATCCTCAGAGCAAAGATGGAAAGCCATCTTAAATAATCACATGGGGATCTCTCTTAAGAAGGAAAGTAGCAAGCCATGTCCCACCCAGGCCTGGATCACACCACACCCATTCCTTCAGCTCTTAGAGTGGAAGGTGGCATGGCTGGAATATCTTGCATTCTAACAATTTCTGGATGCATAACGATGATTGTTAGAGCAGCATCAGAGGTTGAATTGGCCCCTGATTCTTTCTGGCTTCATCCTCACTTCCTGCATAGCTCAGTCTGGCTCTTGCCTTGAAGGAAAGGAAACCCAGTTGAGCCAGTATGCATAGGAATGTTGCATCAATACGGTTCTGGTGGCCAGATGATTTCTTTAGAATGTAGTTAAACATTTCTGGTAGATTGCTACCTTTCTTGTTCTGAAAATGAACTCCACTGCTAAATCTCCAAACCAATCCCTAAAGCCAAATAATGGTCCTGTGCCAACAGCTTAGAAGGCTTTAAAAGCAAATGTGGACTAGGGAGAAAGAGGTACTTTGCTTGCTGCTAATGATATGTAAGTGATGATGAGTAGATCCAAATAACACACATTCACAGGATGAAGACAAGTGGTAGTGCCTGGTATCCAGTAGTGCTTCTATACTCCAAACAATTTACTTGACTGGAAAGATTATTTTCTTATCCCTCTTAGATCATCTGTGACAAGTTTTTATGGAATATTTTATTCACAGTTTTTATGGAATATATGAACATTTGAACTCTATAGAGTTGAGGATAGTTCCCTTTGAGTCTCAATGTGTTAATACTGAAGCCCAATCAGAACATTAAAAATGGTAGTGGTCAGGAGCAGATCAAAGTGGGGTGCATTGGTGTACTTGCACCCTCTCCCCTTCCCTCCCACCCTTTGATTTCTTCTCCACACAAACTTTAAAACCAACTGCCTGAGAAGGGCAGCAGCATTTCTATGCAGAAAGCATTGAGGGAGTCACTTGACTTCATAGCTCTTTATAGTCTACTTGATTCCTTCTAAACTCTTCATTCCAGAGGTGGTAACAACCCTCCCTCCTTTTTTAATGGTGCTGATGATCCACTGATAAACTATCCTTTCTTCTGCAATTCTGCTTTCCCTTTTGCTTTCTGCTTTCCTGGTCAAATAGCTCTTATATAACAGCTCTGCAGACTGTTTTTAACTCTAGCTAAAAAAATTAACCCAGGTGTGGAAATACCTTTCAGTGAAGAATTGGATGCACTGTTAAGATGCTAAAGGTTTGTTTGTGTTTTATGACACTAAAAAGACATACATTTAATCTAATGATTATAGGATTAAAGAAACAGCATCTTTTGAGTATTTCTTGCCTAGCTGGTTCCGTTTTCATACATGATACAGAAAATTAATCCATTTTCAATGAAGTTGCATTTGTTTTCGCTCTGAATGTAAACTCAGTAGTACAGTCCAAAGCCCCTAGCATGTTAGTAAAGTTTCTAGTTTCTTTTTACCTGGAGAAAACTGTGTTGTGTTTTGCTTTGATTAACTGTGCACCCCCAATTTCAAAACTGTAGGTCTACCCATGGTACTGGTGTTAACTGCTTCTTCTCACATTGTATTAACTGATGCTCCTACTTACTCTAGTTTGAGCTTGAGCCTATAGGTGAACTCTCAACTCTTTACCCTCACTCTCTTAAGAAGGCTAATCTTATACATCTATACAGGGCCCATTATTAGGGGACCCTCTTCTTTAGTGGGCCTTCTACACTTCTGGCTTATAGACAGCAAAATGCCCTTTGCAGAGCCCTATCTATACAATGTATTTTATGGATTAGCGTTCCTTAAAAATGAAACCATTCAATTTTGCATTCTAGCACAGAAAAAAGCGGCGGCAGCCAAATACTGAAGTAAGAAAGCAGGACTAAGACTAGGGACAGGCATTACACACCATCCGGTTTAAGTGATCAGAAATTGGTTTAAACCTGTAACGGAACAGATGTTCAGTGCACATAAACCAGTTGGAAAATGGCTGAAACCGGTTTGAGATCAACCTGGTTGAATGTAGTATCAGACTTAACTGATTTGGCTCAAACCGGTTTGTGCAATGTCTGTCCCAAACCCTTGCTGGTTTAAATTAAACCAGACATCCCTCAGCATCCCGGCATGCTCTCTGGGCTGGGCGGGGCTCTCTGCTCCACAGCAGAGCTGGCCCCTTCCCTCTGCTCCCTGGCTGGAGCTCGGCAGAGACTGCAGGCATCTGCCTGGTTTCTCTGCTCCCCCCCAACACTCGTTGCTAAGCAGTGATTCCCCATCTCCTCTGCCTTACACAGACACCTCTCAGCATTGGCTAGCAGACCACATGCTGGCTACAGTCCATACTGTCACAGACAGGACAAAGGCAGAATCAACTGGTAGCTGGTAATGTCCCTCTGTTGTTTTCTTAATGGGCTGATAAACACTGAGTTAGGGGTGATAAACACTGTGTTATCAATTCCCTGCTGGGCTGGTCAGAAGGTGGCGGGGTACCTCCCTAATCAGAGTGTCCTGCTGGGGCCTGACCATGGCCCCCTCAGCTCAGCTCTGTGGAAGGCAAGGGAGGGCTTCTCCCCCACTTCCTCCCCCCCCAGCTTCTAGCCCGAGCCACTGCAGAGTTGTGCCTGCATTTCTGGGATGTCTGTGCAGTTACAAACTGATTAGACTAACACGCAAAGATTGAATCAATTTAGGCTCAGGCCTTTTGAATATCTGTCTCTACCCTAAAAGTAAATGTGTGCCTACACTTATTGTGATAGAGCAGCACAGACAGGAACACTCAAGAAATACTGGAAGAAAACAGGCAAGTATCTTGGCCATGCACTTAGGTTTGAGAGACTTTAAATAAAAGGCAACAGAAAAATTAAGTCAGGCTAAGAGACAGTTCGAAGATGAAAGACCCCGTGGCAGACTCATCAAATACACTGATGGTCAATGAGACTAGACATTAATTCAGAAGATAATTTTACCTATGATGATGATCTGACTTAGGAAGAATTTTGTGCATAGTTATCTACAGGAGGATCCTTCATCAAGAAAAATGAGGTAGTTAAACAGCGCTACCACCCAGTTGATGGGAATTGTATAAGGAAGTCAGAAACTAAACAAATAAATGGAAAGCAAACAAGTTCCCCCTTGAGTGGCTCTAAATGGGACAGGCAGGTATGAAGACAGAAAACATTTACTAAATTAATTCTGCTGATTTAATTCTTGCTGCAAATTTTGCGAAGAAAGAAAAATATTTATATTTTTGGCTCAGTGTTTGGGAATAACTCTTACAAAATATTTACCTCAGAAAGCCAGTGAAGATAAAAACAGGGTATGGCTGGATTAATTGCCATGGAGTAAATCTTAGGGGATATGATGAGGAGGAGGTGAATGATGAAGGTGCGTGAATGACTTATTGAATGATAAAGATGAGTGTCAGCACTGCTTCCTGGCTACTGAGATTCAGACTTTAATACTATATTTTTATGCCAAAAGATGAACAAATACTAAACTTATAAAAACTATATTTTAGCACCACGTGTTTCTTAGTGTACTTTTCCTCAGAGTACATAAGTTTTATCAAGCATTTTTTTTCTAATTTAGAAGGAATTGCTCCCCAATTAATCCCTATGCAGACTTTTTTTGACAGCAGGGTGAAACAGGCCTTATTACCAAGAAGGCCTTATTACTCATTATCTTCAGGAAAAAAATAAGATGTATTTTTAATTAGAATACAATTTTGTGTTTCTCTACATCTAGTCTGGATACCTGGCAAATAAAAACTCTTAACTAAATCTTCAAAAGAGGAAAAATCAAACTCTTAAAAATACTTAAAGCTGTTATTTGACTACTTTTGTGATCATTTAAACAAAAGGCTTCAGATTTTTAAAAAGTATATATCAACTACTTACTTACAGACTCCAGATTATAAATAGATGCTGTTCTATATGGTAGTAAGTTACAACAGTATTGATAATGCAAGTTAAACTGTTAACTATTGCAAGGTAAGACTTTTAGCTCTATTTTTTAGTTAGTGGTTATTTTTAGTATATCATCCATATCAGTCAAATAAATGGTTAGAAAATTTAAACTAATTATGCTGTGTTTATGAAAACTCATACCTATCCATTTTAGTGTAAGCAGTAGTGGAAGTGAAACAGCTGACATTCAATTTGAAGGAAGAGTTAGAGCTGACAGATAATGCAGCTAAGAATTATTTTCAACTTTCCCTTCACTTCTACCTGTACTAGTAAATCCGAAACACTGAAATGAAAATCTGAACTAAAGTTCAGGCAAGCATAGCTGTTCATTAAGCATTTAAGCATATGTTTAAGCAAATACTTAAGTGCTCTTCTGAAGTTGGAGTTTGGGGGTGGGGTGAAGGGTAGGTGAGATGCAAACCTCTAACAGGCTTCAAGTCTGTAAAGTTCCCAGAATGCATTTATAGGTTAACCCCAGTTTTACAAAAGTCTCAAGAGCCTTGTGAAACGTTCATGAAATCATAAATATTGGAAACGAGAAGGAAATTTTTTTCAACGTGGCCAAATTTGGGATAATTAGGAGTTAGAAAATTGGGATTTACCTGTACTTTATCTGTCCAGGATGGTATCATTTATGATCGTGCATTCAAAACAAATGCCATGATGGGAAAATGAGCATGCATAGTTATTATTTCCATTTGTTTTACAGTTTTCAATGGCTGAAATAGGATCAAACAAGAGACCAAAAATAGACTTTGTGTAATCATTCTAAAAATAGTGCAATAAAAAACCTTGCCCCTAAAAGCTTTAATTATTTCAACAATGCGTAGCAAGCACATTTGGTTATACAAAAGAGAAAGCACCAACTAAATTATTAACTCTACACAAAGTCAAATATCTGAAAGGGGATCTTTTAAAAAAAAACTTTATTTGAGAAAGGAATAGACTTATATCAGAAGGCAAAAAAGGGAACATACAAACAGAATATATTTACATCAGAAAACAGGAGATCACCTTCATGGGTGTAAATTATAATAAATACAGTAGATTTAAGAGACAATTATCAACTAGAAATATGGTGGTTTAAACCCAGTTTTCCTTTTCACTGGTTCCAGGTAGTTTCTTGATTAAATTCAGAGGCTATCAAATTTGAATATAATTAAAGTCCACTGGCTGTACTGGGGTAACTTTCTCCTGAACAATATTATAAAAATATCTCCTATGGTGTGTCGTTACTTGTGTCTTTGATCTTGTACAAAAGTCTGCTCAACTACAAGTTCTTCCCCAAATAAAATGTATTTTAAAAGATGCACTATCCCTTTTTGGCAACACTAAAATTAGGCTTTTCAAGCAATGAAACATATGATGGAAAAATACACATTTTTACCTTTATCTGTTTCATATTTTTCTGTTTCATATTTTTGAATGTACATGCTACTTTATCTCCTCTTTCTGTGTAAGAGGGAGAGAGATTTATTTCTATTCTTAATATATTATGCAAAACACATTTCTGTTATCAAAGCTGATGGCAAGGTTTCAGGAGGCCTTTTCTTGTTTTAGCAGCTATTTAGTTATTTGAATTATTTGGAGATGTTTTAAGAAAAAGGATAATGTATCTTTAGAAGTTGCAACATTTTATAAGAGACTGATAATATTAAAGCAAAATGTAAACATGACATGCTAATAATATATATTAGAACAACTTCTACATTTGGCAAAACAGCTATCTCTTTTGAAACAGGATACTGTACCTCAAAATACCTTAGCTTTAGAAATATAAATATTTTTAATAGAAAAAAAAAAACTGACAAGGATTCCAGGTCAGTTTTGGATTATCCATATTAAAGGGGTCTTAATACAATGAATCTTTAACTAGTTTAACAAAAGTAAACCTATAAAACAAGGTAAACATATCAGAAGGGAATATGAAGGAAATGTTTCACTGGAAAGCTTCCTTAACAATTTCCCTACTCGCTTTGTTATTTTCTTTGACAATAAATCAATTCATAGACTGCCCTTTAAAAACAGAGAGTAGAACACTATCCACCCCAAACTCCCCACCCCCCTTTACATTCCTCTGTACATGAATCACTTGGGCTTCCTGTTTCCATAAGGCATTTCCTGTTTCACCCGTACAGAATCACTTTTCTGCAGGAGAACAGCAGGGACCTGACAAAGTATTGACTTAAATAAACAGTGCCTTCTTTTGCATTCAGAGCTACTCTGATTTTACAGCAACAAAGTGCACCGTCTTTCTGAAGGTACGCACTGTACAAATGCATTTATTTTTTTAGCAACTTATAAAATACTCTGTAGTAATTTGATTTTCCTTTTGCCAGGTTGGCATCTTACACAGTTAGTCATTATTCAGAATGACAATGAAACCCTAGTGATAAAAATTATATAATTTTGTAAGATTAATCTTTATTTAAAAAAATAAACATGAGATTGGATATCAGATAATAATGATAGTTCTGGGGTTTTTTGTCCCCTGCATTTTCAGATATACCCAAGTATCTGTTTGGAACATAATGCTGGCTATCATTCCGTGCCGATATTTGCATCTGCTTCATTTGAGGACCTCTTTGTCAATAGTATCATCAAATAAGACAAAAAGAAAAATAAACTTAGCAGTGCAAAAGGGAAACGATTTTTAAATAATTCCATGCCTTGCCTTGCATCTTTACATCCACCTTATATTTCTATTATCTTCTAAATCATACTTTGTACACAAACCTAGGACTACTGGTATTGTAGCCAGTACCTGTCTAATGGGGAAAAATACCCTACTCTTAACAGTGTTCAAGACTACAGTATGATACATTATATACAGAATTGTGAAAGCAAAAGTCGTGACATGTCAGAAGAATTCAGAAACAGAAAGACCGAGTGAACGTTTCATTGATCAGATCTGGAAACTGATTCCAACAATCACTGATCTCAGCAAACTAGTTAATATAACGAGTTTCATTTCACTACAACTAACTGATGTAATACAGTTCAGGGCTAATACAAATCCTATTTATTATGCAAAGATTCAGATAGCATAATTGAGTGCAACAGGTATTTTTTTAATCAGTGGCCTTAGTATGAGTTTGACTATGTTTTAAGTGTGCATAAAAACACATCCACCTTTGATTCTTCGAATGATAAAATGAGATTAGCTAGATCTGTGAACTGAAAGAAAATTTCTTATCAAGGCCTAAAAATGTATATATGACATTCAGATAATAACCTTAATTACAAATCCTGGAGCTAAATCTTTGCCTATTACCTGTTGCATAAAAGCAGCTTGCTCCCCAGATTCCATTTGCTGGGTTTGAATATCGTCATCACTGTCCAGTGGTTCTTCTTTCACTTTCACAGCCCCCACCTGCTGTCCTATTCTGTCATCCACACAAATACTGCTGCTGTCATCCCTAATGCTGTTACCACTAGAGGGAGCTCCTTCTTCCTGCATTACAGGATCTCCATGAAGCTCCTCTTCAGCTTCTTCTAGTTGACTGCCAGGCTGCTTTAGCTGTTCAATTGATTTAGAGAGCATCTGAAAAAGAGGAACAAATAAACCTTACTGTTAGTATCTCTCTCCAGATGCAAAATGTTAAAGATTATTACATTTTGTACTAACAAAGTCACAACATCACCAAAAGAACTAGTTAAACCATGCAACTTTCCAGCAGGAATTTATCAGACAAGTGTTATAAGAATGTTAGTTACTCAAGAATAGGGTCAATATTTTTGTTCTGGATATAGAAAATGGCCTGTACAATATGGCATAGCACAATTTTAAATTAGCAAATAATACTCAGTACTACAACAAGCTATTTAAATGCATGTCAATGACTACTTACATAGCTGTTTTACAAAAAGGGATATTTCTCTTTATAAATATTTAGCATATAAATACATGGACTTTAGGTCAGCATATGAGTCATAACATAGAAAATTAATATAATTCTACACCTAGATATATAAACATAGAAGAAATTAATAAAAAGTAGGTTTTTTCCTCAAAACTTCCTTTTGTTCTGCATCAAAACAATCTTCTAAAGAATGAGCCAAAAACCAAACAAAGAAAAGAGATTATTTCCTATTGTTTGTTAATTCCATAAGAAGTAACCACATCTAAATTGCCATACTCTACAATGAAAACTAAACAGTATACCACAACAAAAAGTTCTGCATGGTATGCAAAAAGTAATAGTAGATCCTGACACAGGATCCCCACCAAAAGAAAGGTCTACTAAAAGGGAAGATGAAGCAGAACCAGAAAACATCAACCAGGCCAAAGGGAGTCAGAAGTAGAACACTGCACTGGCCAGCAGGTGGAGCATGGCTGGGATGCAAACTGAAGCAACATGTCCTTTCTATACATCTCACATGGATTACCTGCTGAAATTAAAGGCAAGCCTTTCAGCAGCAACTCTATATCACAGGTGTACAAGGAAATACTGCTTCTATCTGCTATGTAAATGACAGCAGGGGAAAAAAAGGCATCTATACACGTGCTCTGCGGGAGGGTGGGAGCTTTAATTAGAGCGGTTCTGACGGCTGCTCCACTAACTACAGCAGCATCATATGTATTCAGCATCTTATACTTCAAAATGGCAGCGGGGGCACTTTAAAGCTTTTTCGATGAGTTTTAGTTAAAGTGCCCCCATCACCATTTTGAAATGTGGGGACATTGAATACACCTGATGTGGAAACTGCTAAAGCGTGCCAATTAATTAAGTCAGCTCCGATGCGTGCTAATTAGCATGTGTCACAGCAGAGGTCCATCACGTGTATAGATATTCAAAAGGCTTTGCTCTTGGAGAGATATCATTTCATACATCCTTGAATAAGTCTCCTGGAACTACACCTTCAACTTGCTAAATGTGATGCAACTTATCCTACTGACTTCAAGTGAAGAACAGTTGCTAGGATCAGGCCAATGACATGCTGATGGACATGAAGTGTTCCATCATGGCAGTAGAATCATGCCTTGAGGAAAAACTATAGTCTTTCAAACTGAGTTTTAGCCACCTGAGGTTCAGTCTGCAGTCTGAGGCCGTGTGTAGACGAAAAGAGAGGCGTGCGTGTACGAACCTTTCAAGCAGGCTAAATGCTTTTGCACTGCTTTAGCGGTGTCTGTGTTTGCACACCTCAGCGGTGTATCGTGTACTAATTCCAGCCACTGTAGGAAATCTGGTGGTGTAATGTGCCTTAAATGACTTGGGGTGCAGCAAAGTAAAAGTCCTTCGAGTAGTTTTAGTTTGCTGCTCCTACAGCCGTGGAGGGAAGCACCAGGCTCCATGCAGTTCCACGGCTCTGCAGAAATCCCTGCAGGCAGCCTGACAGCAGCCGAGGAGCAGGCTCTGCCCAAGAAAAGCAGCCAGTCTGATCTTTTTTTTTCCCCCCCACCCCTGGAGCCTGCCTGCCTCCTTGACCTGTGCGGGGGCCCAGCGCTTCCCTCCACAGCTGTAGTGCCCCCCAGGAACGCCCAAGATGGGTGCCTGCGGGTGGGTGCTACCGGGGGGGGGGGGGGCAGTTGCTGCAGAGGGAAGCATCAGTCCCTCCCTGCAGCCCAGGGACCACTCTGCCCCCCAGCAACCTGCCCTCTCCTCCCTGCCAGAGAGGCAGGTAAGTCAGTGGGGTGTGTGCATGACACAGGGGTTTAAATCAGCCCTATATTGAAGCCATGTTTTTAAAAACCCACTGCTTCAATTTAGGGCCCCCGTTTCATCTACACATGCCCTGAGGTGCTGGATTTTGTAAAGGAAGTTTTAGGCATTGTGTGTGAATTAGAGTCATGTCCTTATTTGGTGATGGGGAAGTACTGTGCTTATTTAGGGGAGATTATTAGGGGACTATAAACATCTCCCCCTTCAAGATTGCAGCGAGCCAACATCCTATAAAGGATTTTACACCAGGACTGTCCTTTCTTGAAGGAAATATCTTTGGTAAAATCGTGATAACAGAATTTGGTTATGAAAAAGACTGCTATGGTTTTGTGGATTAATGATCTTTTTGCACTGGATAAATATCGAAATGTTAACCTGCCTTTAATTCCATCAACCTGAGTTTTGTTTTTTTTCAAATTCTAGTAAGAATGGACAGAAGAACCAATGCCACCCTTAAAGCTGCAACTGAAAAATAAGCCTTTTCCACTTTGTCTTATTCTGCGTGATCAAGCCCAGAACTGGGGCAGTGAAGATAAACCTGGGGCACCACCCCAATACCACTCCCAAGCTGTCTGGTTCCTAAGATCTCAGAAGCGGTTGTGGAGAAGAGGAGAGGACATCCATAGATTCATAGATGTTAGGGTCGGAAGGGACCTCAATAGATCATCGAGTCTGACCCCCTGCATAAGCAGGAA